GGAAGCGATCATAAAACGTGTGCAAACTATCGCAGCAATGACTTTTCGTCTGCAGAAGGACCGGACCATGTCGAGACGCGTAAGGTCGGTGACTCGTCTCAAAAAGCCCATTTCAGCAGCTTGGACCCGGGTTCGAAGTTTTTCATTCGTAATGCACGACTATTGACCGTAGATAAGCAAGGGCTTGAATATCGAGAGTGGGCTTAATCTTCAGACTCATTTCTGCTTTAATCACAGTGGTTCGAGCTAGTTCAGGCAGGCAGAACGCCGCTGGCTACTGCAATTCGCCGGTTGATCTCTTTTTCTCAAATTTTCCATTAGCAGTAAACAAGACCCAGAGGTTCTTGAAACTCTCCACCTGCTCCATACGTCTCCGTTTATCTGAAGAAAGCAACTATCAGGAAGACGAGAAAGCACTAGGCTTTAGCACTAGGTTTTAGATACGTTCACGTGCATGCGACTCTTGCCTTACTCGATCCTTTCCACAAAACGGTTTCTGAGGATGCCAACAAAACAAGGTCGTCTGCAAACATCAACCTTCTCATCTTCATATCTCCTACACCGATATCCTCATCGCCTTGGCAGCTCCTGACTACAACAGAGTACAACACAAAACGGAGTTCTGGCGGAGACCAATGTCAACACTGAAAGACCTAAACTTAACGCCATTTACTTTGACATAGCATCTGCTATCAACATATCGGCATAGTGAATCGCTGATCTCGTAGCAACTGGCTGGTCGTCGATCCTTAATGTTTGCAGGCATGCACACATCGTTGCGCAGTCATAAGTCTTTCTCCAGTTCAATAAAGCATGTGTAGAACCGCTGAGGGAACTCCCATAATTTCTCAACAATTTGACGTAAAGTGAAGAACTGGTCAGAGTTGTTTCGGCATGACTTGAATCTACACTGTTCTTGTGTCTCTGAGTCAGTTATTGCGGGGCATTTCCTTCTTAACACCTTTTGCACTTTTATTCGGAAAGTTTAATAAGGTCATGTTCCCTCAAGTGGAGCACTCAGTATGGCGTCCATTTATGGACAAGGGTACTACCACCCTGGTCCTCTAGTCCAACTGTTCCTTCTCGGTAGCCATTGTAGTTCGACAGACACGTGTAAGCCAGCACATGCCTCCCTTATTCGCCTAATGCCTTGAGCATCTCAGGGCGGATTTCATCAATTCCAGCAGCCTTTCCATTTTTCAAGCGTTTCAGAGCTTCTGCAATTTCATCTACAGAAATAGTAATATCCGTTCCACGTTGCTTCTACAGGCGAGTCTTCCTGCGGTTGCGCGGGATTAAGCAGTTCCTCAATGTACTCCCTCCATCGCTGAAATATGTTTTCTTCCTCGGTAAGAAGCTGCAGGGACTTCTGTTTCAGGACTCTTCGAATCCTTTTGTATACCTCGACGGAGACGGCGGATTGTCTGCTAGAATACTTTGTTTACCGTCTGGAAATACGACTTCAGCGGTTTCAATAAACGTCTTTTGTTTGATTGTGTGCGATGTCATAACTGTTTCCGAGCGGTTGTTTTTTACAAGCCTAGGCGCGAACAGCGACGCGTGTCTAAAAGGTTCTTTAAACAACGCGCGATGAGAAAATTCACCCTAAAAGAAATCAGTGGTTTGTCGTCTCGTTTTCACTTAACGTTTTGCGGAAATTTTCGGGAGCTTTCAACCATATGCTGAAGAGGGGGGCAGACGTGAAAATCATAAAGGAGGCTACCAATAACCACCAAAAAACACGCAAATCGACAAAAACCACAAGAACCTACTCAGCGTGAGATCCAGCGTGTCGATGAAGCGCAGCGTCGCGGCGGCAGTGGCGGCGGCGACGACGGCGGCGGCGGTCGTTTCGACGGCGGGGGCAGCCATAGACGACAGAGGCGGCGAGGCGACAGGAGGTCAGCAGCAGCGGCGATGCTGATCGCAATGGCGGCAACTCCTCCTCCCTCTTTGGACACTCCCGCTTCTCAGCGTCGACAGGGGGACGTTTGCTGGACGATGACCGTCGAATGGACAATGGCGACGACAAATAGACGACCAAGACGAAGAAGAGGAGAAAGATGGTGAGTCACGGAGACCGCGCGTCGACGGTACGGACACAATGGTGTTCTTCGAGCGGCGGCAGTTGTGCGCTACTCGAATGCACACGAAACTGGGCGAGGCCATCGCCACGACGGCAACTGCAGAAGAAACCGGCTGCCGAATCGCGGCCCGCCGGCGCATCAGTCGCAAATCCGAATGGACAACAACCATTGGCCAGTATTGCCTTAGCACCGCCTCTTTTGCTACAGCTGCGTCCTCTGCCAGAAAATGTGCGGTCGCACATGAACGCGTTGCCCTGCCCTGCCCTGCCCTGCCCTGCCCTGCC